TGGGTTCAATCCCCAGTAGAAAAAAAAATAATGTAGAAATATATAAAGTGATAATGGACTTTTTTCTCTTATTTTCACTTCTCAAAGGTAACAACTGGGAACACTTTGGTGAGTTTCTCTCCAGATCTTTCTCTGTTATATTGAGAATTAATATCTTACACTAAGACAGTATATGAAAATAGTATTTTTAAAATAATTGTTTCTCTTAGATTTTACATGCCCCCAAATGGTCATTTTGGGTGGGGTGCTAAATTAAATCCATAATATGAAATAAATGAGTCAACTTCAAATCTGTACCATACTACTTTAGATAATGCTATCAGAGGGTCCTTAGCACCCTGTGCAGTTTATGTACATACACATCTCCTAGCTAACTTGTACACTAGATAGCAACTGACTTTAATTTTTATATTCTCAATACCTGTTTGTATATATGTTGAGTAAAGAGTTTATTTAACTTTCATCTCCTATCTTTCTTAATGTTTTTTAATTCATTAACTTATTTTTAATAAACTCAAGATTTATTCTGAGAATTTTGCAACATACCTTTAAATGGTTGATCTATCAGATAGGGTCTCGGCAGGAAACTGAACTAAATTCAGATAATTCCAGAAACTTTTATAAAGGGAATATTTAAGAGGTGCAGGCAGGGCAAGTGAGCCATAGTGGTGCTTGCCTTTAATCTCAGTGCTTAAGGCAGAAGGATTGAAAGTTCAATGTCAGCCTGAGCAACTTAGTGAGAACCTGTCTCAAAAATAAAAAAAGTTCTGAGGTTGTAGCTCAGTAGTAAATCCCCCCCCACAAAAAAAAATTAATTTGACTTAAAAAAGGCTGGGGATGGGTCTGGGGATGTGGCTCAAGCAGTAGTGCGCTCGCCTGGCATGTGCAGGGCGCTGGGTTTGATCCTCAGCACTACAGAAAAGTAAAATAAAGATGTTGTGTCCACCGAAAACTAAAAAATAAATATTAAAAAAAATTATCTCTCTCTCTCTCTTTAAAAAAAAAAAAGGCTGGGGATGTAGCTCAGTGATAGAGCACTAGCCTAGCACATATGAGACCCTGGGTCCACTCCCCAGTACTAAAAAAAAAAAAGAAAGAAAGAGAAAAGTCTCAAATAGAGCTCAGAACAGGTATGGGGGACCTCAAATTCTCTCTTCTCCTGCATGCCAAGCTTCTGTCTTCCATTGGCTGAACCCAGGTGAGAGCCTAGGTGATGCATTCCATGGAGGTTAATTTTCTGGGGTGCAGGTAAACAAAATCAGGAATGGATGTGGGTGGGCAGCACAGGGGAAGCATAAAGAACATCAGTTACCAACTCTATCATCGCCAAGAGATCTCAGTGCAATTATCCCTCCATCTGGAATCTAAATTGTAAAACTAGCCACCATAGGTGTTTTTCACATCAGCTAGTATGGAAATTGAGAAGAAAAAGAAACCATCAATGAATATCAGATATCCACAGAGCTATAGGTGGTCATAAGGCTAAGCTGGTATTTATAACTGCCTTTTCCCACTGTCAAGACAATCCATGTTTCTTTTACTCTCTGCCAACATGTTGGCTAGAAGGGATTCTTTCCCTTCATTTCCACAGGATTCAAGCCTTAATGGGTAGTTGGTCCTGTCTTTATTGCGTTATTGCTTTGCTATAGTTTTACACCAACAGTTATTAAGAGGTTCCCTGGTGAATCCATTAGAAACAACAGTTGCACCTGTTGGTAGTAACAACCTAACTTCCACGTAATGATCAGGATCAATCACCCTAGCCAATATTGTAAACTCCTTTTCTGCCATTGACTCAACAGCAAAACCAATTCAATGTCTGTTTCCTGGAGGAAGCATTCCTCCCTTGGGAAATAGGACCTCTAATCCTACTGAACCTACTAAAGTTGCAGACACAAAAAGTAGAAATCTACCGGGTGCAGTAATCCTAGCAGCTTGTTGGGAGGCTGAGACAGGAGGATTGTGAGTTCAAAGTTAGCCTCAGCAAAAGAGAGGCACTAAGCAATTCAGTGAGACCCTGTCTAAATAAAATACAAAATAGGGCTAGGAATGTGGCTCAGTGGTCACGTGCTCCCAAGTTCAATCCCTGGCATCCCCACCACCCCCACAAAGAAAAGCAGAAATCTTCTGAGTTGTTAAGTATGAACATGAGAAGGGTTACTCCCACTTCTACCGTGGAACTCTGTGTTCTGGCTATGGAAAAGAGGGTATATTTGTGACTTGTTTAAGTCATATAGTCATTAACACATCCTTTGACGTTATCCTAATTTGGTGAGTTGTTCTTTGCTAGATGGCATTCCCAGGAATCAGTCAGCTGTGGTTTCTTAAAGCTATTTCTATGCCATCCATAGTTTGTCATAAGGTGAGACATCAGAGTTGGAAATTTTTGCTAGTGACTCTACCATCTCTCCATATTAGTTTTGAAAGGATATTTTGGTTATTTGAGGGCACCTTGCATTTTCATCACCAAAACCAAGAAGATAATAATCACTCTCTTTCTGTAGTTTTTCTTTTAGGTTGCACAGGCAGACCCACCTGGGATGCTTGGTTTTTGCCATGCTATTTGGTGCCCAATTATTATTCATATTGCTGCTCTATTTGCCTCTCCCCATACAGTGAACAATGTGCCCACTATACTATTTCAACAGTTTCCACAGAGATGTGCCGCAGTCCGGCTGGGCAAAATAACCGGGAGGTGACAAGCAACTTGAAGGTTGAAGCGGGAACTGCTTTATTACGGAACAGCGGTGTATATATACCTAACTGATTACACACAGCTTGACTCAATTAGCATCATCCAGATACAGCAATCAGCCAATAAGGAATCCCCATCATCTTAATAGCTGGGTGGTGTTGCCTCCCAAACCACTCCGCCTGGCAAACTGCCAGGCGCCATCTTGACTTGATTTGTGGTCCCCAACAGAGATGCCTTAAATTTGCTAGTAAGAAAAAATGCTGATGACCTTGCAACCATTCATAAGGTGTATATGCTCATGACATATCAACAGTGTCACGTGGGTCCTGTATTGAACATCAAGAAGAAAAGATAGTGGCCCCTAATGCTTCCCATTTCATATTTTGATTTGATATCTGTGGAACCATTTGGGATTAAACAGAGTCTGGACTTTATATTCAAATTTGTTGAAGAAGCATCCTTATAATAATAATTTTCAGATTATTTAAAGAAGTATCTATTTCTTAGAACAAATCTGCAATTATTTGTGGCCTAAGAGCTTGGACTTTGAAATCAGGAAACCTTGAGTTCCAAACCTTAATTTACCATTTATGTGACTTAGGTACATGAGCTTTGAGCCTCACTCTTTCTCTCTGTAAAGTAGTTATTATTATACACCTTTTTCTCCTAGACTTAAAGGCTAACATAGAGCATGCTATTACTAAGTCCTTTATAGGGATGGGAACTTAACTCAGTGGTAAAATACTTACCTAATGTGGCAGTGTGTGGCAAGAGGCCCTTGATTCCCAGCACACACCACACACACACACACACACAAATAAAAAATATAAATACCCACATGCAGTGACTCACACCTGTAATCCCAGCTCTCAGGAGGTAAGTCAAAAGGATCACAAATTCAAGGCCAGCCTTAGCAACTTATTGAGACTGTCTCAAAATAAGAAATAAAAATGACTGGAGGTGTAGCTTGGTAGTAAAGCATCCCTGGGGTCAATCCTCAATACCAAAAATATTGGTTAAAATATTAATAATTGTGATTTGTAGTAGTTATTACATATTAGGCATTTTAGGCTCTAAGATGAATGAAAGATTTCAGAAGTCTCTCTGCTCATAATAGAAAAATTTAGCAAAAGGAACATACTCCAACATAAATTTTCTTTAGATTGGTTTTTGTTTTATTTTGTTTTTATTTTTAGAATAATCTTCCTTTAGGCCCAGCATGGTGGTACACACCTGGAATTCCAGAAACTTAGGAGGCTGAGGCAGGAGGATCACATGTTTGAGGCTAACCTCAGCAATTTAGGAAGTCCCTAAGCAACTTAGTGAGACCCTGTCTTGAAATCAAAATAAAAAGAACTGAGGAGGTAGCTCAGTGGCAGAAGTGCCTCTGGGTTCGATTTCTAGTACAAAAAAAAAAAAAAAAAATTCTTTCCAATCCTTCCTTCCCAAATAAAGACTTGATAAACTTTAAGCAAGCTCTGGGGATGTAGCTCAGTGGTAGAGTATGCATAAGGCCCTGAGTTCAATCCCCAACACAAGACAGAACACGCAAGTAAGCTCAATTGGTTTAATCTGAGCATTATCTTAGCAACTTAATAATACCTTTAGAACAAATCAGTTCATTTAAGTGAACTTAATGGTACAAAGAAATTCAGTTTTTATTGATTGTAAGAATATTTTGTAAGCTGTTGAAACCATTTTACAATCACTAAATTCTATATAATTATGCCCAAACTTACAGAACTAAGGGCCAAAATTCACAAATGTACATAATTTTAGGAGTTTATGGCTAAATCTATTTATTTAGCAGTACTGAGGATTGAACCCTGGTGCATTAAGCCACCAAGCTACATTTCCCAGCCCTTTTTAAAAATATTTTATTTAGAGATGGGGTCTTACTGAGTTACTTAGCACCTCATTTTTTTTTGCTGAGGATGTCCCCAGCCCTTTTATTATTTTGAGATAGGGTCTCACTATGTTGCCCAGGCTGGCCTTGAACTTGCCAAGGTTGGCCTTGAACTTGCAATCTTCCTAACTCAGTTGATTCCTGAGTAACTGGGATTTACAGGTGTGCACCATACCCTGCTAAATCTTTGTATTTAAGCCCCCCCAAATTACTACTACTATATAATAGTGCTTTAAAAATTGGGGTTCTTGAGTCAGACAACCTGGGTTCAAATCCCTGGTAACCTTAAGAAAGTTACTTAATCTCCTTGTACTTTGATTTTTCTCAACTGTAAAATCAGAGCAACAGTACTAGCCTCACAGGTTTCTTGTGAGAATTCAATGAACCAAACAGATGTAGATGTTAACTATCATTGTTTATTATTTCTGTGACTCCACGTTCCTAGTAACAAGTACATTGTGGAGAGAAGTAGGGACAGCCTGTCCAACAAAAATAGAATCTCAGCAGCGGAGCAACATACCAGTGGACCATAGCAGAGTTTGTGGCAAAACATATGTGATTTCATGGAGACCCTTCCAGAAATCCTGCCTTCACCAAGAACTGAAGCTGATGGGTGAATATGCACTCCAAAACAAATGTAAGATCTGGAGGGCCAAATTTGCTCTGATGGAGATCCACAAGGCTGCCCAGGAGCTGTTGGTGATGGGCCAGGAACCTCGGCATCTGTTTGAAGGCAATGCCCTGTTGCAACAGATCCTTGTAAGTTGCTGAACAAGGGTCATGTGAAGCTGGATTACATTTGGAGCCTGAAGATGGGGATTTCTTGGAGACCGCAGACCCAGGTGTTGAGCCTGGGATTGGCCAAGTCCATTCACCATGCCCACATGTGGATCTCCCAGAGCCTTATCAGCATCAGCAGGTAAATGGTGAACCTGCACCCTCCTTGTCCTGCACATCTGGAGGCACATCATCCTCTCCCTCCACCTTCTGGACCAGGGTGGCAGTCCAATCTGCCTGACAAGGAAGGACATCAAGAAGGGTTAGGAAGCTGGGGGTGTTGGGTGTGTGGGAGGCTCCCCCTTCTCGGAGAACATCATGGAATCCCTTCCCCTTCCCCCTCCTCTCCAAATCCCTTCCCCTTCCCCAAGAGTGCCAAATTCAAAGGTTTCCTCAACCAATCCCCACAGGACACAGTGTCCGCTTGCTGTTCCTGAGTCACCCTGCCAATCAGCACCCTCCACGTCCCCTATGCGACCCTTCTTAAGCCCAAGCTTGTAAGCACACACTCTTCTCTCTTCTCTCTTCTTTCTCTCTCTGCCCTCCTCCCCTCCTCTCTCTGCTCTCTGCCTCTTCTTCGGGCAGCACCCCAATAAAATCTCTTGGTTGAATCTCCGTCTTGGGTGAGTCACTCACCTTTCAGGATGCAGTGGTATACGCCTTTAATCCCAGCAGCTTGGGAGGCTGAGGCGGGAGTTCAAAGCCAGCCTTAGCAAAGGCAAGGCACTAAGCAACTCAGTGAGACCCTGTCTCTAAATAAAGTACAAAATAGGGCTGGGGATGTGGCTTAGTAGCCTAGTGTCCCTGAGTTCAATCCCTGGTACACCCTCCCCCCAAAAAAAGAAGGGTTAGGGGGAGGGGCAGGATCCATAGGTGAGGAAGAGGATTAAGCCCACCCCTCACTTTCTGGACTGGTGGATCATCTAGTTTTCTAGTCAGATAATAAAACAGGACTAACAGTCTGGAAAAAAAGAAGTATCTCAGAATCACAAGTATCCCAGTGATGATCTCCTCTCAGGAAAACGTCTTATTGCACAGGTAGTGAACTTCACATCTTCCCAGTGAGTCTGCTTTTCGGGGCATAGAATCAACAGACTCATCTTATCCTTTGATAAATGGAATTTTCTGAAAGTCCATTTAAAAAGCTTAAAGTAGCTCCAGTCTCTTTCCCACTCTTTACTTTTCACTGTGGCCCCATGGATGAGAGGATCTCAGGAGTCTGAGGTGGTTTCCCTCCCTGATAGACTTTTCTGCCATTCAAAGTACACTAACAGCTTCATTTCTGCCCCCACTGTGCACCTGTTCATCAAGTTAGGGGAGAATAGAGGTGTTCGATCAACATGCTTTGCTTTTTTCCACAGTGAGTCAGGCTCAAAGTTGCAGCTCAACAGATGATTATTAAGACTGACAGAGGAGTCTATGAAGAGAGAGTTGAGATTGGGCAGCTCTGAACCATGTCATTCCAACGCTGGAAAAACCTTAGATGCCTTTCCTACACAAACTCAAGTGGCTTATAAAATAAAATAAACTGGTCTATTTTTTAATAGGATAGATGCCTCTAAGGAGATGTGCTGAACTACTTGTGGGTTCTCAAAATTGTCAGGTTCTCACTTCTTTCCCAGCCCTCTCTCTCTCTTTTATATGTGTGTGTGTGTTTAGTTGTACACAGTACCTTTATTTTATTTTTTTAATGTGGTGCTGAGGATCGAACCCAGTGCCTCACGCATGCTAGGCAAGCGCTCTGCCACTGAGCCACAACCCCAGTCGCCCAAGGCCTCTCTTGATGCCTCTAGATGCCTTCCTTCAGCACTTCACTTCCTAGCTCCTGAGGTCCTTCCTGGTCAGCTTGAATGATGCCTCCTCCAGGAAGCATTCTTTACCCTCAAGACTGGATCAGGAGACTCTCTTGTACTCCCACATTACCTTGTCCTTACCCTATGTGAGCCTTACCACACTGATCTGTGATTGCCAGTTTACTCATCTATGTCCTTCACTGTCCTTGGCAACCTGAAGATAGTAACCCATATCTTATACACAATTACATCTCTAGCATCTAGCACACTTCCTGACACACAGTAGATGCTCAATAAATATTCTGAATATTTATTATAATATGTAAGGATTCTGGCTGTGGAAATGTACAAGGCAGTGTTCCTCTGGTGAGCAAACTCCCCGGGGGGGTTGGTGGTAACAGGCACCCTGTTTCCCAAAGTTGGAATATTCTGCAGTTTCTCCCAGGAACTAGTAAGATGACTAACTAATACATGCTCAATGCCTAGCTGCTATGGTAATGTCCTTCATGAGAAGTCTCTGTGCTAGAGTCTTATCAGCCTCGACCTTAATCTCAGACACTCAGCTTTTGGGAATAAAGAAACTCTCTTCTTAGACAACACAATTATGTCTCTGCACCCTAACCTGCCCGCATAACAGTAACTTTATACAATGAACAATATGTACTAATGATGCCAATGAACTAATGTAACCTGTGGATATAAATAAAGCTGGCAGCTCGGATGAGCAGCCCCTTTTCCTTTGCCCCTGCACCTTGCTTCTGTCTCCTTTTACTTTCCTTGCAGTAATAGCCTCGTAATTGCTCTTCATGCTTCTGTCCTCCAGTTTTTTTCTTTTGGACTGGGGATTAAATAAAGGGGTATTTTTATCATTGAGCTACACCCAGACTTTATTTATTTATTTTTGAGATAGGGTTTTGTTATTTTGAGGGTTTTACTAAGTTACTGAGGGTCTCGCTAAGTTGACAAGGCTGGCCAAGAACTTGTGATCCTCCTGCCTCAGCCACCAGAATTGCTGGAATTACAGACATGCACCCCTTCCATCAATTTTGACACGACAGCCAGAAAAATATCCTTAGTTGGCCATACATGATTCTGATGCTCCCTATCTGCTCACTTCTATCATTACCCGCTCTTCCTTGTGCTTACCATATTCCCTAGCCATATGTTCTTCAATTTCTAGAATTCACTCAACCAGTTCCTGCCTCAGGGCCCCTGCACATGATCTTCCATTAGTACTTTTTGTATTTTACTTAGAGACAGCGTCTCAATGAGTTGTTTAGCTCCTTGTTTTTGCCGATGCTGGCTTTGAACTCATGATCTTCCTGTCTCAGCCTCCTGAACCGCTGGGATTATAGGCATGCGCCACCACACCCAGTTTATTTTTTAGTGGAAGGTGGACACATTACCTTTATTTTATTTATTTATATGTGGTGCTGAGGATTGAATCCAGTACCTCACACGGGCTAGGTGAGTGCTGTACCACTGAACCACAACCCCAGCTGGCTTATTTTTTATTTTGAGACAGGGTCTTGCTAAAGTGCTTAGGGTCTGGATAATTTTGTTGAGGCTGGCTTTGAACAGCCTCCCAAATTGCTGGGATTACAGGCGAGCACTACCACATCGGGCTATTAGGGAGGTTTTTGTGGTTGTTAGTTTTTTTTTGTGTGTTATTTTTTTTGTGTTACTAGGGGACTGAATCTAGAGATGCTTTACCACTGAGGTATGTCTCCAATCCTTTTTATTTTGTATTCTGAGACAGTCTCAGTAAGTTGCCCAGGCTGACCTCAAACTTGTGATCTTCCTGCTTCAGCCTCCTGAATAGCTGAGCTTACAATTGTGAGCCATCATGTCTGGCATAGAGAAGACATAAATAAAATACTTTTTGAAATGAATGCATGAAGAAAACAAGTGCTGTCTTGAAGTAGTCGCCATGGGTGGATGTGTCTGTCCATCCTTGTTCTGATGATGTCGTCATTGCCCACAAGCATTTTGGAAACTCATCTTTTCAAATTGACTTCCAGATCACTTTAAAAGTTACATAAGAAAGCTGGGCACAGGGGTACATGCGTGTAATTCCAATAACTAAGGAGACTGAAGCAGGAAGACCACAAGTTTGAGGCCAACCTCAGAAACTTAGACCCCATGTCAAAATAAAAATAAAAAGGACTAGGGATGTAGTTCAGTGGTAAAGTGCCCCTGGGTTCAATCCCCAGTATAAAAAAAAAAAAAAAAGTTACATAAGAAAGTCAGATTCACTACTCTATAATCACACCTAAATTTTTACTCTAAATCATTCCAACTTGATTTCTACCTTATGTATTAAGCTTGGTTCTGAATGATCTGTTTGTCCAAATCAAATCCACTCTTAAGAATAAAAGAGTGCTGAACTAGGGATGCAGCTCAGTTGGTAGAGTGCTTGCCTCACATGCACAAAGCCCTGGGTTCAATCCCCAGCACCACCAGAAAAAAAAAAAGAAAAAAAAAAGAATAAATGAGTGTCACCTAAATAATAGTCTAAGAGTGAACTGGACTTTAGCCTACAAAGGGAATTTTTTCTTGGGGGGGGTACTTCGGTTTGAACTCAGGGGCACTCAATCTCTGAGCCACATCCCCAGTCCTATTTTGTATTTTATTTAGAGTCAGGGGGTCACTGAGTTGCTTAGTAACTCGCTTTTGCTGAAGCTGGCTTTGAATTCGGGATACTCCTGCCTCAGCCTCCCAAGCCACTGGGATTTTAAGCATACGCCACAGCATCCAGCTTCCAAAGGAGATTTGAAAAGAGAAATTAAAAAGCTTCTCATTCCAACGTGTAAATTTGGGTGTGCTGTGTTGATTTTAAAATATTACCTTATTTTACACTGAAACTTTAGACTGGGACCAGAGTATTTTTACTTTTGTTCAGTTATTTTTGAAATATTTTCATTTTAGAGAATTTAATTTCTAGGGAAAAAAATGCAATGATATTTAGGTTAAAAGGCAACTTGGGGTCTAAATAATTTCCCTTCTGCTCTTCTGCAAAAATTACTCTAGCATAATTATTCGCTATTTTTTCAAACATTTCACATGTTCTCACCAGTTTGTTCCCCTTTTCCTGGTCTTTCCTGTGACAGAATCAACCTTCTATCCTTTAACCCAAACCCTAGTAAAATTGTATTCTTCCTTCCAGGCCTAGCTCAAACATTCCAGAACTTCCACCCCAGA